TTATGTTAACTTTAATTTTTGATTAATTGATAAATATCTCATTTATAAAAAAAGTTTATCCTACTAGTCTTAATATCTATTGAGGTTTATTATGATGGTTGTCAAATAATTATTTTCTAACTTTAATTCCATAATTTCTCTTAAATGTACTTGTTGGCACCCAGTTGTAAAGAAAAAAGTTTCTTCTTTCTTTTTCTTTCTCTCTCTTTCTCTCTTCCTTCCTTCCTTCCTCCCTCCCTCCCTCCCTCCCTCCCTCCTTCCCTCTCTTTCTTTCTTTCTTTCTTTCTTCTCTCCCTCCCTCCCTCCCTCCTTCTCTCCCTCAGGGATTTTTATTCAATGGATTATAATACATTCAAATTTACGTTCATATGTATTTTAATATTCAAATTATCCCAGATTTTCTAAGTGGAGACTCCATCAAACTGACTTCTGCCTCTTTTTGTTATGTCTCATCATTCTTTTAGCACTTTAAAATTTTTTGTCACAATAAGATGTTCCGGGTTTATGTTGTACTTTCCCAAAGAATTTGTCCCCCAAGAATTGCCACTTCCAAGAATTTTCATCAGTCATCATGTTCTGGTACATACACCTAAGGTCTCTACAACTCGAGAAGAAAGTCATATTTTCCAACGTGGAACTTTTCTAGTTGTTCAAAATTAAAATTTGGAAAGTATAACTTATTCATATCTTAAGATTTACAAACATTCAAATTCACACTGTTGGGTGAACGGTTCTATGAAGTTTGATAAATGCACCACTATAATCAAGCGATGGTAAAATTCCATCACTCTCTCTCTTGTGCTATTCCTTGAATGTAAACTCTTCTTTCACTCTTAACCCTTGGCAACTTATAATGTGTCTTCCAATTTTATAATTCTGCCATTTTTGGAATTTCATATAAAAAGAATAGTAGAATTTATAGCCTTCTACTGACTTCTTTCACAAATGCATTTGCTCACTCGCACTGTTGCATGTTTTAGTAATCAGTTCCTTTTCATTGCTGAATAACATCCCTTTATATAAATGTACCACAGTTTGTTTTTCTATTCCTCCCCTGAGAGACATTTAGGTCATTTCCAGTTTTGTGTTATTACACATAAAGCTGCTATAAACATGTACAGGCAGGATTTTGTGTGGATTTGAAACTACCAAACTGTTTCCCAAACTGATTGTACCATTTTGCATTTTGAGCAACAATGTAGGATGCCTCAAGTTGGCTCCACATCCTTGCCAGCACTTGGTTGCTAGTTTAAATTTTTGTTTTATACCCATTCTGTTAGTAACTCATTTTTTAATTTAATTTGCATTTTTCTAATAAGTAATGATGTTGAACATAAAGTAGCATGATTTCATGCAGAGCATGAAATCTCTCCATGGTAATTATTCTCACCTGATAACTTGATTTGGGCCTGAAACATCAGTCTCTCCACAATGATTATGTGGACTTCTATTATAGTTCTGGTGATTCTGACCCAACCTGCCTCCAAATCCCAAGAACAGCATCCTCTCCATCCCCAGGTTAAAAACTAAGGGCCTATAAACTCAGAAAGAAAGAAGCAAAAGTAGGGTGAAGGTATATATATGCTTGGAGGCGGAATACAGGGGGCTTCAGAAATTGAACTACTGTGACCTGCATGCATTCACTGAGGTAAAAAGTGACGTCACCTGTTCAAAATGAAATGTACAGCTATTTTACTACAACAGACAGATTTTATTTTATTATGGAAATCATTATCTATCCTTTGCCTTTCTTTAGTGGATGAATGTGTGAGGTAACATCAGACAGAGCTATTTTACAAGAATTCTATTGCTTTCGTGAAGTTGCATAAACCAAGGTTGCCTACAAACCCATCCATAATGGTAAAAACAAGCCAGTTTCGGTTCACAATTTTCAAGTGAAAATTTTCCAGTTAAATGTCTTTGAATGGCTTTGGCATTGGCATTGAACCTGCTGGTTATCTTTTGGGTGAGGAGAATGTCATAGGTATTGCTCTTACATAGGATAACAAATACAACATGTCAGAGATTTTGATGGGCAAGAATAATCTCAGCAAGCCTCCTGACTTTCTTTTAAAGCAGTGGAGTTGTGGCAAAGTGTTTGTTTCCTCGGGAACATGAAAGTCTAGAAGGACATTTATTTTTTTTTTAGTTTTTTAATGTTTATTTATTTTTGAGAGAGAGAGAGCAAATGAGTAAGAGAGAATGAGTGGGAGAGAGAAAGGGTAATGCAGAATTTGAAGCAGGCTTCAGGATCTGAGCTGTTAGAGCACAGAGTGATGCGCAGCGCAAACTTGCAAACTGTGAGATCATGACCTGAGCACAAGTCAGATGCTTAACCGACTGAGCCACTCAAGTGCCCCAAGAACGACATTATTTTTTAATTAAATCTCTGTATTTCGACAAATAGTAAAGAGAGTACAGTTGACACTAAAGAATTATCAGTAGTCTATATAGACTTGTTAGTAATGCAAATCTAAATAATAAGGAGAGCTGACAATTTCCAAACAGTTTGTATTTGGGACCAACTGGGTAAATATAGTGTCTGTGTAGATGTTGGCTTTTCCAGTTAATTTTAATAATGGAAAATACCTTTTCATTGCAGTGTCTGGTTTCTTTTTCAAATAGTCTAACCACCCTCATCAGTGCTGATAACCTTAGTAGTTTAGTTTCTATAACAAATACAATTTTTGAAGCCTTCTTTTTTTGACTTGTCCTTTTTAAAAATTATTTTAGACTGTTACCTAAGACAACTGGTAATTAGTAACAACATACAGCCTTTGTTTTGTTAGAAGGTACATATTGCTAATATTTTATTCTTCTTGTGTTAAATATTATTCTTTATTCTGGGTCAGTTCCAGAAAAATAAAGAAAACCAGATATCTAGTAAGATCCTATAAACAACTATAGGTCAGAAAAATTGAATTATGCCAGAGGAACTTCAAATCCTGGAAAAGTAGAAAAATAATCTAGAAGCATGAATTTTTTTCCATATCAAGAATCATATAGGAATAAAGCTTTGGCCAATGATCACTTCTCTTCTCAAATGGTAATGCCAATCTACCTACTGACTGAATAAAATATCCCCTCCAGTCTTTTTCCCCCTCCTTTACACTAAGGCTTATTGGCAAATTCGCATAATGTTAGTAGAACCATTCCTTAGGATGTGAACGTTAAACGGAGAAGTTGGATGTCAGATAGGAACTTGGCATTTCCTAATTCATCTTAATTATGAAATATAAACCTAACTCAATGTTTATTTGTTCATAATTTCAAGCTCTTTCAATATCATATTTCCAATCTGGGTTAATTTCCATACATGTTTTTTTAAAATACCGGGTATAAAATATTGTCATTATTTTCTCATGTGTAGTATTATAGAAGGATTCAATGCCTAAAAAAATTGTAGTAATCAGTTCAACCACAGCTTTTCTTAGAAGTTTGTAATATTTTAAATTTATACACAATTTGTACAGTGTGTGAATGATACATCTTATTTCAACATTCACATGATTAGAATTGATTAAAGAACTATAATCGTCTTGTAAATGTGCTTTTCACCCGTACCAGCTTATTATATAATCATTTCCTAACAGTGGCCCAAAGCTCAGTTTGTCAAAAATTTCTTCCAGAGAACAAAAAATATAAATACAATGTCAAGTGTATTATTTTAAAAGATTTCACATGATATAGCCAAATACGTATAGCAAAGTGATGCTTTTTCCTGTTAAATTTAATATAAATGCTGACCATCCACGGTGGGAGACCACTTCTTCTGATGTATTATGCAATTACATTGATGGATGGTTAATTGAGTCACTGTGGCAGACTATATGTTTACTCACGACCTGAATGTCATTGGTCAGGTTATGGCTTCACATCTCTGACCTATAAACATCTACTACTTTGGAAAATACCTGTTTTAAATTTAAATTTCACTTTTAAAATACCCATAGTAAAATAAATTATTAAATTTATCATCAGAAATTTTCTACACAATTGTTTTTGTCACCAGGATGACTCAGACTGTCTGTTATATGGCTTAAAACCACCAGTAAATGTAAAAGGACTTTTATATAAATGATGAAATTAATTGTCTCAGTTTAGGTGTTCTTTGATATTAACAGAAACTTCACTTGAACTTTCACATGTATGAATATACATACACACACACACAGCTATTTAGATAATATTCTCTTTTGTGATCAAATGTCTACTAGTAAAGAAAAAAAAAAGTACTGGGAAAATAGACATGAGTTAGAATTCCTGACCACTGAACTTCTTTAAATTACTTGAGTCGCCTTTCAGAGAATTTGAATCTAGGTTATGATTATCTTTTATTATTGGCAATTTTGAAAAGGAAGAGAGAGCTCTGTTTACCACCTGCCTTTTACATAATGCTGTATGAATACTAACAGCTTCCAGTATCAGTGCACTTGCCTTCTATCTTAGAAAGAACTTACAGATGACTTTTAAAGCTAATTTCTTAGACAGTACTTTATTATATGCAATCCATCTGGAGCCTATTAAGACAAAAACCAAACCAGCAAAAACCCCTCAGTTCCATGGAATAGCTAAATACATTTGTATAACATAATAAAAGAATTCTAAGATATGCTCCCTCCACACACACAAAATATCCAGCCTCTAGTACATACACCCTAGGGTGTGAATATCATGGACTTTACTCCCATAATTAGATTAATTTATACACCAGAGTGGACTTTTGAAAAAGGAGATTATCTGGAATGAGCCTGAAGTAATCAGCTGAGCCTTTAAAAAGGACCGGTCTTTTTCTAAAGTCAGAGATTCAGAGCATGAGAAAGATTCTACATGACAGAGATTCTCCAATGTCGGCTGCGAAGATAAAGGGAGCCATAGGACAGCCTCTATGAGCAGAGTGGGCTCCCAAAAAATAGTCCACGAGGAAACACGTTCTTCGGTACCAACCACAAGGGGTTGAATCCTCCCCATAAACTGAATGAACTTGGAAGGGATCCTACCTGAGAGCATCCAGTGAGAACTCAGTTTGGTTGACACCTTGATTTCAGCCTTAGAATGGGTGGATTCTGACCAGGACCAGTCGATGAACTCTGAGGCCATCACTCAGTGCCTGGGCTCATTGACAAAGAGGTGTTGTTTTAAGTCACTAACTTTGTGATAATTTGTTATATGGTAATAGAAAACTAATGTAAACCACTTAGAATATAGCTCGTTGTAATCAGTTAATATTTATATTATTTTTATATCAATAAATATTTCATTCTTAAGGGCTAATGAAAATATAAAAGAATATGCATGGCTATGAATAAAATACCCACATGTCCTAGTTAGCACACAAATGCTGTGCATATTTGTAATATTGCCGTGACTAGGAAGTGTGGTAAGTATTTTAGTAGGATATGCCCTTGAACTGTGATACCTGTTTTTAACTATTTGGACTTTGAGAGTCAGAATAAACATTTCTGCTTTTTTATCAAAAGGACCTAAAACAGCTTCTCAACTTGTGTGAACAGTTTTGCATATTTTCTCTCTGAACTAATAATTTTTAAAGCCATTTAAATTTCTCAAATGCTTTAAGGTAAATACTATTAGTCTTTTACGTCCATGTGGTAGGACATGTATCTAAGTCATGCTTTATCCATGACCCGTCTTTGATGATTCATCCAGTTTGACAAGTAACTGTCTGCTTTTAAGCTCTTTGGTTTGCGTCAACAGTGAGATGAAATGAGACTTGAACAACATGTACTATTGAAGCAAAATATCATACAATCATTGTATTGTTAGAAAAATAAAGCTTTGAAATGGACAAAAATAGCTAATGGAGCAGTACCTTTGATTCAATCATTGATTTTCACACAAAGTATCCAGAATTAACTTAAATATCTTTTGTCCAATGACTTTGACCTGTAACAAGAAAAAAGAGGGCTCATTTCTGATATGTAATTTTTTAGGACTACATTGAGAAAGATTATGATAATGTACATATAATAAAATCGTCGACAATGGTTGTCTTGTAATTGTGAACTACCTTCAAGGAGGCTGCGTTGAAGATGAGAACAGAGTCTTCATTTCGATTAGCTTACCTTTTTAAGTATTCTGCTAAGAACTTCTATCACACAAATAGAAGCAAGAACTTTATTATCATCACTATAGCAACTGCAGGGAAATTTATTTCAAAACACTTGGCTACCTCAAAGTTTTTCCAGGATGGAAAGGAGAGCAGATGATATGTAACATTTTAATTCATTTATAAAAATTGTTCAGTGATCCAAATTAGTATAGTGTCCCTTATGAGGGCAAGATAGTCCCGTTTCTTTATAATTTATTTTCTTTATTTGTTGAAGCAATACGAGATCACACATATATCTGTGTACATGCATAAGTTAATTTGAATTCTCTTTATAAATTAATTTTCAGCGTCTCACAGTTTTGAAAGTGGCTTACAAAAGTCTTAAAAGAATAGTTTTGTACGGATCATTCAAAATTTGAGTATGTCACTAAACAATACTTTTCTGGGAACTAGAATATTTAAATGAACAACATCAAACAAATATTAATGCATGTGGGCAAATGGAGAATAATACTATCTTCTTTGTCTTGAACAAGAATTCTCAGAATCCCAAGGCTGATTTATTCAGTATGTTGTGCTCTGTCTTAAATTTCTGTGCGAGAAAATGCTCTTGTTCGTACTACCATATCTTTTCATTTCTCTGAACTTTTTCACGAACATGCATAGTTCAAAGTTGCTGACAATCTGCATTTAAAATAAGATGATCATAGAGTAGTAAGGTTGCCTGGGCAATTTTTAACCTTTATGTCTTCACTGGAGCCAGAGTTCTGAGAACTTCGTTTATAATGGCCTTTTAAAAATGCCTTTCTGGACTGATAGGACTTACTTTTTAAGTACTCCTCTCATACTTTAAATGAAAAAGACATGATAAGATTTCAAGATTTCCTGAAATGCATTGCTATGCGTGAATTATGCACATTTGTAGGAGTGCATGGCTGCCTTTGGGCTTCCCTTTTAGAGCTTCTGACGGATGCCTGAAGAAACAAGTCCTCTGCAGAATGTAGGGAGACTGGGTGCCTTCGGAAACAGATTATGCTCTGCATCAGGATTCTCAAAGTTTGCACAATCACTGTGTGAAATGTACTCTTGGAATTAAATCTTCTAAGTGTGTACAATTATTCTTGAAAGAACAATAAAAAGATAAGGATATGGTTGTACTAAACCATTAAAATGATGCATGGATTATTTTTCAAAGGGCTTATTGGTGCTTTAAAATCTAAAGTTGATTTTCCATGTTCATTACTTTCTTTTATTGTAGAATCAATTGAACGAAACATCTGGTGTATATACATGCACATGTATCTATATCTATATAGATATAGATATAGACACACATTTATGACATTATAGATATAAATTTAATATTAGGTTTATGTATTTAAAAATAATAATTATATATTTGGTAACAATGTGTTTTTAAAGCTTTTCCTAAAAAAAACCTGATTAAGTCAACTAATTCTGTAACTAACTATGGGAGAATTTCACTATGCTTTTACTGCAGTCTTTTATCACAAAATTGGTTTTCAAAGAAACTCTCATATCTATGCTACATACCATACCATTTCCATCAATATTCCTTAGAATGAAACATTAAGATAAGAAGTAAATGTGTGACTAATAATATCTAGAAATATTAAACAATATTTTCCACTCTCTCTGAATATCATTTTTCTTTAAGGGAGTATTACCTCTTCAGATTAGTAAGAACATTGGGATGACATTAGCTGGTTGATAATTATATTAATTATATTATTTATATTACTCTATGAAAGTGTTTTTCCTATGACGGAAATAAATGTAGAGTGTCTACAGAAAATACCCCAACTTTTAAACACATGAACATTTAACTTAGGTGTTTATTTCAAACTCTAGGCATTTCTTCATTAAAACTATATATTATATTTTTAATTGATTAAGCATAAATTGTTTTGTTTAAGTTAAAATTTTGGCGGCTGCCAGTAGATGGCATTCTGGTTTCTGCGAGAGCTGTTTATTTAGGGATGGGTTCTTTTCTTTGGAAAAAGGGAAAAGAAACTGTGACAATAGGTTTCTGATGGAAAAGATTACTAGGCCTTCTTGAGAAAACTGTAGCCATCCTAAAAAAAATTAAGTCTTGAATCACATTTCATTTATTAAGTTAGTTTACCAATCTCTGTCAGTTTGTTAACTCTCTAAGTTGTGATAGATAAAGTTAATGTAATTTTATTGAATAAAAATTTAATGTTAAAATATAATGTTAAGCTGATTCTAAGTAAACTAGTGAAAATGGTGTTTTAGCTTCATTCAGAGCACTGTAATCAATAATTTACTTAAGCCAAAAATGATTTTATTGCCTACTGACACAAATTTGACCACATGATCCAAGTTTCCTTTTGTAAAATCTTATCAATCTCAACTTAACTTCGTCCAAATAAGAAACATAACTTATTATAACATAACATAATATAGTCTCCTGCATATAGTAGATGATTATTAGGTGTTTGTTGAACGGATAAATGAGAAAGTACACTTAGAACTCACTATGATACTATTTCTGAAGTGATTCATAAAGTTACATAAACTGAAGGTCCTCAAAAACCTCTTTTTAAGGAATGTCAAATGTCTAACTTGGACAACGGGCCGCTACTCCTTCCCAGGAAGATTTTCTTTAATTCTTACATTATTGTGAAGAAAATTAAACTTATGCTTATATAGGCGGCTTCTCTGTACAACATCATCCTCAGTAGTTACATGCTTTGTTTTAGTTCTGGGTAGATGAGGAATTAAACCCCATGAACACAAAAAAAAGAAAAGAAAAGAAATTATTTATTTCTAACATGTTTAAAAATACCTAAAAACCAACATATTTTAAAGCAATTAACATTTTCATTCATCATGACAAAAGAATAAAAAATAATTTTCTAAACAAATTAAAATTTAAAAAGACCAGGATAGATGATTCAAAGTAACAAACATTTTCCCAATACTATTTTTTTCTTTAAATTTACAGACAAATAATTAATATAATAATTGCAAGAGGTATCTTTTTCTCCAAGCAGTTCTCCTTATACACAATAAAGTACTTTGATGGAGTAATATACTGAGCAATTAAAAGTGAATTAAAGGCTATTTTTCAAAAATTTAGACTTTTTACTTATTCTGAAAAATTGTGCTTTATTGCTCTGATAGAGTAACGCTATAATGAAGCACAAATGATATTCCATATTAGAAGAACTAATTCATCCCACTTAATACTTAGAACTTCTAGTGCTGACCATTAAGTTGCCAAAGGTATTTATTTTTCTCAATCATTGTTAGATACTTCCACTACAGACAGTTGAGAAGCATGGACAATTCAAAATAGTAGATATCTTGCTATAGTAAGTAAGAATCTATTTAGAACATGATTATTTTAATCCATATAGTGTCAGCAAGTTTATACACTCCTGATGGCCTTGCTTAAAATCCATCTCTTCGGTCTTAACCCTATCCATCCAAAACTCCCTGATATTGCATGTCAGAAGTTATACATTTCAGTCTCCATTTTCATAGCATTTTATGTCAATTTCTGATATAGTTCTATTTCTTGAAAGTATTTGCATTATTTTCATGTATGTGTTGTCTGTATTCAATAAGTTCTTAAGAATTTTCATTACTTATTTCCTCACAATGCTTTAAAAATGTTTTTAATGTTTTAATTTATTTTTGAGAAAGAGAGAGAGAGAGAGAGAGAATGAGTGAGCACTAGTGGGGGAGTGGCAGAGAAAGAGGAAGAGAGAGGATCCTAAGCAGGCTCCATGCTGTCAGTGCAGGGCCCCACATGAGACTCAAACACATGAACCATTAGATCATGTCCTAAGCTGAAATCAAAATTCAGACTGAGCTACCCAGGCGCCACCCTCACAATGTTTTTTATGTATCCGGCCCTCAGGCAGTATTATCAAGTCTACAGTAAAAACTACTGCAATAAGCACAATAATAATTTTTTTAATTAAAAATCCGAAATCAACAAATAAGAGTAAGATGAATAAAAATGCATAAATGATTATGATGACTTCCATGGGAACAACAAAGATTAAACTTATTCCCTGGACAATGGCATATTATAAATGATAAATTCAGACTAATGTTTTGATTTTGGAGGTTTAACAATGCTATTTTCCCAGTGGGCTGTGCTTTATTCTAGATCAGAGTCTCAACCGTGAATGCCCATTTAGATATTCTGGGAGCTTTAAAAATCAATGTCTATTCCTGGGATCCAATGCTAGGATTTCTAATTTAATATGTCTCACTTGGGTCTCTTCCATCTAGATTATTTAAACCTATTCCTTATATGATTAAAATATTTATTTGGGGTAGAAAGCCACTGGCAGAAAAATATGCCAGATCAAGTCTAACTACTGGGTATGATCCCATGGATTCTTCCTCTAAGTAGAGACTTAGTTGAGAATTTTTCAATATAATTATGTACCTGAGACAAACTTTACTATGAACAATTATGTAGTATGTTGTTTAAAATATCATTCACACATTTTGCAAGACATGTTTGGACTGTGAGATAGTCTCTGGGGGAAATATTGCTTGAAATAGACATTTCCTCATACAGAAGGATTCATATAGGGTTTAGCAAACTAAGGGCTTAATTTAAAATTCCAATTCTATATGGGGTCAAGCTTGTAACCTTCTTATGCAAGAACACATTTCTCCATTCATAAAGAGAGTGTCATCATTCCTTTTTCATAGCATTGTTACGATGTTTACGTTACAGGGAATTGTTTGTGAAGTGATTAGTGTGCAAATAAGCCTTACATAAGTTCTGTTATAATTAGCCCATCAGATTGTTAGCACTACAATCATTGCTGCCTTGGGTTCCTATGCCTGCCTGCTATTCTCTTAATTATGCTGGTTCTTACTTAAATTTTATATCTTATCTTCAAAGATTCTTCCTTGGAAATGTCTTAAATTATTCTCCAGTATAAATTAGAATTTTCTCTACTATTTTCTCTCATCACATTTCTTTCAAGATCACT